TAAAAGTATACCAGAGGACACATGCTTATCGTATCTATCGAGAAGTCTTACTGCGAGTACGTTCACATTCGGCGTGGTTTCCCTTCTGGCATGTGGTTCCCAGTAATATGAAGCATATTCGAGCAACGGCGTTGCTTGCGGGGGCGGATCAAGCGTAGGTGAAAGATCCCTAACGCACTGAAAGTTGAGGTATGTTAAACAAACCTGCGCAATCATCGAGTGAGGGCTTTGAAACAGCTCGGTATTATTGGATAGGTACTCTTGAAGAGTGTAGTGGACGAGACGGACAGTGTATGAGGACGCTTCAACTATTACAAGCCCCAAAGAGCATCCTAGTAGTGTTTCTATCGCAGGGATGTTCTCAGAATCTAGGTCTGTAGACCCGATTTCCACTCCCAGGGCATGGCATAACTCGTTAATATTTAGTGGTCGTTCCGAATGTGATAGCCACATTAACGCGTCCATGCCAAGTCTTGCCTGGCCCTCCTTCTGCGCCTTTATTCGTGCTAGGGTTGCCGAGTATGCCTCTTGAAGCCCATTCCCTTGGATCATCTGGTGAAGCTTTTTCTTTCTCTGGCGGATCGTAACCTCCTCCAGGACCGCGGCGATGTTAAGAGAAACAAGAAGAAATCTATGTTGCATTAGCGAATATCCGACGAGGTTTGGATTGGTTAAAGTTTCTACTCACGTGTGGGAAATTGTTCTTAGAATCGCTCTCATAATCTCGGCCCTCAAATTGTCATTCATTGCCTTGGGCATAGTATCTTTGGCTAATCTTGTCGCCAGATATATCTCAACATCCTCAGCGGTAGGAATGATGGCTATCATGATCGCAGCAGTGAAATATTCCTCAATCTCACCCTTAATGTGAGGTCTCCCGGTAAGAAACACTCGCGTGGACGGAGAAGCTCGTACAATTTCTTGAAGTGACTCAAGAAGCTCTTGCCGATTCCTCGGAAGGCATTCATCTAAAGCATCAACACAGATGAACACTTCTGTCAGCGATGCAATCGTCGTCTTCAGCATTTTCACCAGGTCTAAAAGTCGCACAGCTCGCCCTCCTAACCCCATTTTCTCCTCACGAAAAGCCTGCCGTACAGGCACCGGAATCCCATCTCTCTCTAAAAGTTGCTTGAGGATTGCGCCCAACATGTTCGTAGTGGACTGCTGCTCCTGCGCAAGATAATCGCAGTACAGGCCTGCCACAGCGATGCCTCTATTACGAACTTGATCGCACAACCGGTCAATAACTAAGGAGCTAATATTGCCGATCGTCAGTGATATCCACTTGCTCCAGTGAGCTTTCACACTGACCTGATATATGTCTTCCCCACACCAGGGTCGCCATAGCAGAATAAAACACCCTGCTTCGGTACTCCTTGGTTACTACTCCATTCCCGAAACTCGCTACTTTCCAGAAGCCAACCTCCCACACCCTTCACCCGGTCGGCTTGCACGTTCCGATGTCTGTGCTGGGGCTCCAGTGGCGAGAGCCACTGCTTAATCAGGTCATCTTCATCGCCTATTTTGTTCACAGTGACAGTCTTGTTGTTCAGAGTAATACTCTTGTTGTAGCTATTCGTTACGTTCCCAGAGTCGACATTACCAGAGCCAAATGATTGCATATTTGATATTTGTTCCGTGATGAGTTTCGTGGATGCCTCGTTTCGCTGTAGATGCGGCTCTGTGTAATTCAGGTGGCCAAACAGGTGTATGAGCTTTCTAGTGCTGGAGAAAGGAGGGATGCTTTAGCTTCCCCTTTTTCGGAGGTGGTTCGGGAGTGGCCAAACTCGTCACACGAGCCATAAATTGTACGAGTAGGGTGGCTGTGTTTTTCAGAGCTGAGATTCGCAGAAGCACTTCCTCCCTGTGCCACACCCCCATAATGTGTGTAGCAGGAATGCCAGATAATCTGGAAATGGCATGGGTGGGAGCGATCGGCGCATGGCGCAATAGCGGGAGTGACAATTTACAAGTAAGCGACTGATCTGCGTGCCGAGGGAACGCTTGCCCCGGGCGAAAGTACTGTATGTACGCCGCTGCACTAGGTACTCGAGTACTCGAGTACCATAATATGAGCCGCCACATGAATAACTTTAACCACGGGCTTTAAATCCGAGCACCGGTACGGTACTCGAACACAAGTGTCGGGGATAAAGTTTTCGCACAGTTTATTTAGGCTGACTCGCAAAATAATCCCTGTCTTGTGCAGTACGAAAACTTCTCCCCGGGTACCGTGCTTGTGAACCATTTAGATACCATGCGGTTAGGGGTCGACCCCTTCTGATGCCATCAACCGGGAAATATACCACCAAGATTTGTTATCCGAGCCAGTTTCACAGCCACTTGGCGCCGTGCTTGCGGTCTGCCCTAAGCACTCGAGTACATTGCTACAAAGTGCCAAGTTAAAAATTTATATCCTGCACAAGCAAGTGGTTTCGATGGCGGAAGGTGGGGGGGTATATACTAAATGGGGGACGAGTAGGGAATGGCTGGGTTAATAGTACCAAGTACTATATCGTTTTACCTGATACTGGTACCAGTAGCCTCTTCTACCCACCCTGGCACAAGGCTGAAAGTGCCAGCTATGGGGTGTTCTCGCCCGCCTACCCTAGGTTACACAATAACCCCTGCAACTTTTTTTTTAGCCTCCAACCAGACCATCTGGCAGAATTCACCAAGCAACTGCGCGTATGATCAATACCAGTAGCCCAATTCCACAGTGTTGCAACGAAGGGGGGTTGGATCAAAAACAAGATCGAAGGACTTGGGACACACTTTCTAAACTGGGGGTTATAAGATAGAACCTCTAACAAAACAGTAAACAATGACATTTGAAAGTAGCTGGAAGCGAAGAAACAAATAAAATGATAGGAAAAAGAAGCGAAGTATAGCAGAAGAAGCAAATAAACCAATACTAGTACTTGTACTTATACTCCTCTTTCCTGCTTCTGAGCAATAAATACTCATGCAGCCGAATGAAAGTGGGAATTCCTATATAAAGTTCTTACCATCTTTGCTTACTAAGTCTTCAAAGAACCCCCCCTTCGATCCCAATTTTCAGAATCCCCAATTCTACCCCCCCCCCTTTCCAGTCCCCCGGGTTCTATTGCTGAGGCCTTCTTTGCAACGCTGATTCCACACAACACCCCAAGTGCCCGGTTGTCTGAACTCTAAGAGGAAAAATGTCTTGATATTAATACCTTAGTGATGTCAAGCTGAACTAACGGCTACCAGAAACAAACATTAGGAAGCAGCGAAACTCCTCCTGGAACTGGAAGATATCAACCCTCCAACGAGCCCGATGCGTGCCACCAGACAGCACTCTCGGGCACAGCTAGTAAGGGGGCAAAGGAGTAGTGAAGCTACTCTTATGGCGGAGGGACATCAAATTTGACAAAAAATGCATAGGGCCAAGTCACCCTGTCGGGCTGCGACGGGGTGGGCACGCTGGTGTGGCGGAGAAACTGCTAACACTGAAAGACGCCAACCCGGGCATACCAGATTACGCGGGCCAGGCACCTCTCATGACTCTACTGTGAGAGGTGGGGAGGGGGAGGGGGTAGTCAAGCTGGTGCTGGCACGGAAGGATGTGTCAGCCCTGATTTCAGATGATGCTGTGGCCGGTTGCTATTCTTGCTGGCTACTAGGAGGGGGCATGAGCGTGTGGTCGCCATGGAGTGTATATTTTCTCCCAGTGCCCGCAAAAACAATGAAGATTTTGCATCTTACAACATTCTCATATTGACTTGCTCCGACGTCTGCCTACTGGCCTCCGGGGATACGCGACTCCACCTCACGAACCATTGCTTCACCCCCCCCTCGAATCCGACCCTCCTGACTACTGCGTTCATAAGTTGCTTGTCGCCACGATTTGTGTTTCAATGCAAATCCCATAGTATTGATAGAGTTGGATGTGATGAGAATAGACATACTGTGGTTGACTAGGCATTTCTAGGCTTGTAGAATTTAGCGCAGCCGGTTATATAAGTTTATTCCACACAATCGTTAACCTCTGCGAGGGTCTCTGTCAGGATCACAAATAACTCCTTTACTATATCTAAATTTAGCTCAGACGTCCTTCTCTGGTCAGAGATTCCCCTTCTTACGTACTGTACACGGTACCAACATCCCACTGCACTCACATATGCTTATACGATGCCGGTACTATCTAATGTTGCGGTAAAGGCTCGGGTATGATAGCCGGGAGAGGGCTGCCAAGAATCATGTCACATCACTCGTGTATCTTGGGCTCGTAAATTGTTGGAGTGGTTGTCGTACTTCCTGATAACCTGCGATTAGAGTAGGATAAACGACATAGCTATCTTGTTTCCTTCACTAGCTATTAGGCACGTTAAACCATAGCTATCAAGAGTCAATTATATTTTTCCAATTTCCGGGTATAGCAAGCCGGTCACGAATGCATTTTTCCTTTCCAAGCAGTCCCGGTTAGAACACCATCCTACTCAGGAAGCCATCGGGCACTCCCACACAGGTATCCCCTTCACTGCCGAGATAACCTATTTGGGTAATCGCGATATGAAAAACTTTGTGCTTCAGAAGTGGTGTAGTGCTCGGAATAGTGCTAAATCATACTGCTCAGCACGGCCATGATGGACACCAGGTTGTTTGCCTACATTTGCTCCTGACTATGGTACAAGTATGAGTACTTCACCTGATTTTAATTTATCTTGTGGTGTTGTATATCATTGCTTTTCCTCTAATGTTCTCAGAATATCAAAATTTAATAGCATTGAAAATACAAGAAAAATTCCGCTTTTTTTTTTAGCAAAAATACAGTGGTTAATTAAATAATTAAACTAATTGTAGAAAAAAAATCGACAACATGGAAGTTGAAAGTGGTTAGGGAATCAAGATACCTTTAAGGCGATCTGTTCCTAACGCTAATCACCGGGCCTATGAGGGCCTATCAGACCTGATAGACTTTCGTAGGCCGCTGCAATTCGGTCTATCATCGGCCTGGCCCGTTGAGAACACTGGTCGGTGTAGTACAGTGGTCAGTACGCCTCACTGTGGAAACACAGCTTCTGATGAGACCCATGTTCGATTCATGGCACCGGCAATATTTTTACTCTCTACAGATATAACGAGATGTCGTTTATGCAAAGTGGATTGATTTTGGATATTTCACGAGAAGCTGTATGCAAAAAATATAAAAATATAAAAACACAAAAACATAATTTCTACCTCGTAGTATAAATACGAGTTTCACTAGGAAATGCGGTATCATACTACCCCTTGGACTAAGATTAGTGTCTGTTGCCCGAACGTGTTCCTTTTCGGAACGGTGTGTTAATTCAAAAGCCTAAATTGGGTTTTCCTTTCTCACCGTTTACGCCACCGCAAAAACAAGTTTCACCAAAAAAAGCGGGATTTGGATGGCAGCAGTCACACAGGGCAAACTATCCTAATGGACTATTTCCTTAGGAGAGTGTACTCATGAAGTCAACATCTTGGCATTGATATGCTGAAAGTATATGATGAGGTCAACTATTAGTAGCCAGATCTCGCAGTTTCCGACATTCAACATATGCTGGTCTAAGGTATATACGAGTGATGTAACATGAACGTTGACAGTCCAGTCAGGTTTATCCCAGGGGGCCTTTACGGCTTTACAACATATCGGACGGTATCGCATTACCCTATACGGGCATGGCGAGATTGTAGAAGAGGAGTTGTAGTCTGGAGAGAACCAGCCTCAGAAGCTAACGACTTAATAAGCATAAGTTTCGAATCCAGAAACACTCGGTCCACCATGATATGTCCATTCCCTTCCCGTCCAACCCCCAAGTAGCACCCTCTATGTGTCGTTGTATGTTATCACCAAGAAACTTTCCCCATTTACTTTGAGAGGGTGGGAGGAATGCACCTGTGCGGGAGATACTGTATCTATTCTAACAAAGGGAGTCTGCCTACTATAAATTTTGAGTTCTTGTTTTGTTACTATTAAGGTGGGTCCGGCAAAGTGGCGCCTAATCCATTTTCCCCTTTTTACTCTTTCCTCTCCGTCAATTATTTTCCTCCGGTCTCACCTGTAATTACTGTACAACACCGCTTACCGGTACATGGTTTCATTAGATGACTCGTGAATTCTGCACCATCTATAACTTATCAACTACAGTAATGAGACATTCGTTTCTCCCGCCGTCCTAACCTCTACACCCATCAACAGCCAAACATCTCTACCAAGCCGAGCGGAATGGAAGTGTGAAGGAAGGAGAAAGAAAGAAAAGAGAGAGCGAAAACGCCCTATAATGCACTGTGAAATACTGTGCATTGAGTTGAATTTAGTCACTATACGTGCACTGCTGGTATCATAAGCTAGTTATTCATATTAGTTGGTCTGGATAGCTGACGTCTGGAATACCCTCAATCTCGTGAGAAATCAATTGTTTTACGCCCTTCTAACTACAGTGCAAGCCATGCCGAACCCCACAAGGCCCACGAAGCCGATCAAAATAGGAAAGGGTCGGTATTAAAAAAGAGAGAAAAGAAAACCGGGCCCGCTGCCCGAAAAAATCACTCCGCCCTGGGATAAGAATTCTTTTCCTCTCTCCCAGGATATGAAGAATATGGCAAAAGAACCAAATAGACTAGCAAGGGAACAAGAATAATGATTAACGCTAAATTGATATTCGATAAGGGGAAACTGCTGTAGAATGAAGAGGTCACCTACTTTGCTCGTACTGTACAAAGCCTATTCTCATAATATATCCATGGTATTAGGACAAAATAAAAGAGGAAATGTGCGTCAAGAAGGAGTAGAAAAAGAAAGAGAGAAAACAAAGTCATCGATCACCGATCAAGGGCCGACATTGCAAAAGCGGTATGATAATATTATACGGTTGTTGAAATGAGAGGAGGAGTTAATGATCACATGATTGGTAGAGAGATGGCTAGGACGCAAGGAGATATTGACGTAAAGAAGACAAAAGGAAGATTAGAAGGAGTGAAATGAGGATGAAGTTTAGAAGCGCGACACTGTAAATGAGAGGGCTAATCCGGTGAGGAGCTTTTGTCGTGAATGACCGCTTCTATCGCCAGTGTCGGGCGGGAGTCACATCCTACCGGCCCAAAAGCATTTTCACGATGGCCCCATACCCATGTTCAGCTGCCCACAAGAGAGGTGTTCTGCCGTCCAAATCCGCGGTATCGGGCGCGACACACCCCCACTCCAAAAGGATCCTGACAATGTCAAAATGCCCACTTTCTGCTGCCCACGATAGAGGGGTTCGACCGTCGTGATCTGGAGTATCGGGAGCGACATCCTCCCGCTCTAAAAGCATCACCACGATGGCCTCATACCCATGCTCAGCTGCCCACGACAGAGGTGTTCGACCATCTTCATCTGGGGTGTCGGGTGCGACATCCTTATGTTGCAAAAGAATCTCCACGATGGCCTTGTACCCATTTTCGGCCGCCCACGAGAGAGGTGTTCTACCATCTCTATCCGCAGTGTCGGGAGTGACGCCCTCCCGTCCCAAAAACATCTTGACCAGGTCCAGGTTCCCACTTTCGGTTGCCCACGATAGAGGGGTTCGACCATCTTCATCCGGAGTATCGGGAGCGACATCCTCTCGGCACAAAAGTATTTCCACGACGTCCTCATACTCATTTCCAGCTGCCCATGATAGAGGGGTTCGACCGTCTTCGTCCGCGGTGTCGGGAGTAACGTCCTCCCGTTCTAAAAGTAGCATCACTGTGTCCTCACTCCCATTTCCGGCTGCCCACGATAGAGGGGTTCGACCATCTTGATCCGGCGTGTCGGGGGAGACATCCCCCCGTTCCAAAAGCATTTTCACGACGTCCTCATGCCCATTTTCAGCTGCCCACGATAAAGGGGTTCGGCCATCTTTATCCGCAGTGTCGGGAGTGACGCCCTTCCGCTCCAAAAGCATTTCAATGAGATTCACGTACCCATTTTCAGCTGCCCACAAGAGAGGTGTTCGACCGTCATGATCCGCAGCATCGGGAGCGACGTCGCTCCGCCCCAAAAGTATCTTTACGACCTCCTTATACCCATTTTCGACTGCCCACGACAGAGGGGTTCGACCATCTTCATCCGCAGTGTCAGGGGTGAGATCCTCTCGTTGCAACAGCATCAACATGATCTTCTCACTTCCATTTTGAGCTGCCCACAAGAGAGGTGTTTGGCCATATTTATCTGCAGCGTTGGGAGTGATATCCTCCCGTTCCAACAGCATCTCCACGATGGCCTCGCACTGATTTTCAACTGCCCACAAGAGGGGTGTTCGGCCGTCTTTATCCGCAGTGTCTGGAGTGACGTCTTCTCGTCCCAAAAGTATCTCCACAACATCCTCACTCTCAGTTTCGGCTGCCCACGACAGAGGGGTTCGACCATTGTTATCCGGAGTGTCGGGGGCGACGTCCTCACGTTCCAAAAGCATCTTCACGATGCCTTCTTCCCCTGACCCAGCTGCCCACGATAGAGGTGTTTGACCGTCCTTATCCGGAGTGTTGGGAGCGACACTCTGCCGTCTCAAAAGCAGCTTCACGATGTCCGCATACCCATTTTCAGCTGCCCACGACAGAGGGGTTCGACCATCTTCATCTGGAGTGTCGGGGACTACATCCTCACGTTCCAAAAGCCTCTTCACTATGTCCCTATCCCCACTTTCAGCCGCCCATGATAGAGGTGTTCGGCCGTCTGCATCCGCAGCGTCGGGGGTGACATCCGTCCGCTCCAAAAGCATCTCTACGATGCTTGCACACTGATTTTCAACCGCCCATGATAGGGGGGTTCGGCCGTCACCATCCGCATTGTCGGGAGCGACATCCTCTCGTTTCAAAAGTACTAACACGATCCCCTCACTCCCGTTTTCGGCTGCCCAAGACAGAGGAGTTCGACCATCGGCATCTGCAGTATCGGGAGTCACATCTTTCCGCCTTAAGAGTTCCATCACGGTGTATATATCGTTATTCTCAGCTGCCCACGAGAGAGGTGTTCGACCGTCCTTATCCGCAGTGTTGGGAGCGACATCCTCCCGTTCCAAAAGTATTTTCGTGACGGCCCCAAACCTATGTTCAGCTGCGCACAATAGAGGTGTTCTGCCGTCTTTATCCGCAGTATCGGGGGTGATATCCTCCCGCCCGAGAAGGATCTTCACCATGTCCAGATTCCCATTTTCGGCGGCCCAAGACAGAGGAGTTCGACCATCGGCATCTGCAGTATCGGGAGTCACATCTTTCCGCTTCAAGAGTGCCATCATGGTGTTCATATCGTTATTTTCAGCCGCCCACAAGAGAGGTGTTTGACCGTTCTTATCCGCAGTGTTGGAAGCGACATCCTCCCGTTCCAAAAGCATCATCACGATGTCCGCATACCCATTGTTAGCTGCCCACAATAGAGGGGTTCGACCGTCTTCATCCACAGTGTCGAGAGTGAGATCCTCCCGACCCAAAAGCATCTTCACGATATCCTTGTAGCCTTGATCAGCTGCCAACGATAGAGGGGTTTGACCCGCGATATCCGTTGCGTTAGGAGTGACCTCCTCCCGTTCCAAAAGCATCTTCGCGATAGCCCTATCGCCATTCTCGGCTGCCCACAGGAGGGGCGTTTGACCGTCTCCATCCCTAGTGTCGGGAGTAACATCATCCCGTTCCAAGAACATCCTCACAATGTCCTCACTGCCAGACTCAGCTGCCCACGATAGAGGCGTCCGACCATCCCTATCCGGGGTGTTGGGAGCGACATCTTCCCGTGCCAAAAGTATCTCCACAATGCCCTTATGCCAACCTCCAGCTGCCCAAGATAGAGGGGTTCGACCTCCTTTATCTCGAGTGTCGGGAGCGACATCCCCCTGTGTCAAAAGTGTCTCCACAATGCCCTTAGACCGACCTCCAGCTGCCCACGATAGCGGGGTTCGACCGTCTTCGTCCGGAGTGTTAGGAGTGAGATCCTCTCGTTCCAAAAGTATCTTTACGATCTCCCCGTGCCCCCCTCGGCTGCCCACGAGAGAGGCGTTCGCCCCTCCTTTTCCGCAGTGTTGGGAGTGACACCCTCCTGCTCCAACAGCACCTTCAGGACGGCCTTGTGCCCAT